TTTTTTGGCGGCCTTTTTTTTTTTGGTTGCTTTTTTTTTTTTTCCTGAATTTTTTTTTTTAGAGACGTTTTTTTTTTTGGGGGACTTTTTTTTTTTGAGGGTGTTTTTTTTTTTGCAAATGTTTTTTTTTTTCCGCTGATTTTTTTTTTTTGTTGGGTTTTTTTTTTTCATCCTCTTTTTTTTTTTCTTTCAGTTTTTTTTTTTCACTTCTTTTTTTTTTTTTCCATCTTTTTTTTTTTTAGCCCAGTTTTTTTTTTTAACGCGGTTTTTTTTTTTGAGATGGTTTTTTTTTTTGGGCACTTTTTTTTTTTTGAAGAAATTTTTTTTTTTAAGGGGATTTTTTTTTTTCAGGAGATTTTTTTTTTTGCACGGGTTTTTTTTTTTACGCAGGTTTTTTTTTTTCCAGCACTTTTTTTTTTTGGCACCCTTTTTTTTTTTGCGCCAGTTTTTTTTTTTCAGAGCATTTTTTTTTTTTGCACGCTTTTTTTTTTTCAAAGCCTTTTTTTTTTTCCACTGCTTTTTTTTTTTGCAGTGATTTTTTTTTTTGCAAGGCTTTTTTTTTTTCTGCACTTTTTTTTTTTTATGCACTTTTTTTTTTTTCCCTGAGTTTTTTTTTTTGCTCCAGTTTTTTTTTTTCCTGAACTTTTTTTTTTTGTACAGATTTTTTTTTTTACCAAAGTTTTTTTTTTTGAAACAGTTTTTTTTTTTTGTAATCTTTTTTTTTTTGGAGGCTTTTTTTTTTTTATCCCTTTTTTTTTTTTTTTCAAGATTTTTTTTTTTAACACAGTTTTTTTTTTTCTCAAAATTTTTTTTTTTGAAATGATTTTTTTTTTTAAGAGACTTTTTTTTTTTAACATCCTTTTTTTTTTTCGTTAGCTTTTTTTTTTTGGTCTGGTTTTTTTTTTTAGACGCCTTTTTTTTTTTCTCGCAATTTTTTTTTTTTGGGTCTTTTTTTTTTTTACAGACGTTTTTTTTTTTGGCTCGCTTTTTTTTTTTGATGGGTTTTTTTTTTTTTCATGGATTTTTTTTTTTGGTCCAATTTTTTTTTTTACGTACGTTTTTTTTTTTCTTTGGGTTTTTTTTTTTAAGGCATTTTTTTTTTTTCCGATAGTTTTTTTTTTTGGCTCAATTTTTTTTTTTCAGCACTTTTTTTTTTTTAGACGGGTTTTTTTTTTTGTCGGGATTTTTTTTTTTTCCTGACTTTTTTTTTTTAACCCCGTTTTTTTTTTTATACAAATTTTTTTTTTTCGTGGTGTTTTTTTTTTTTAGCCCATTTTTTTTTTTGGCTGAGTTTTTTTTTTTGCGTGAATTTTTTTTTTTGAGCTTGTTTTTTTTTTTGATCTGGTTTTTTTTTTTCAGCCTGTTTTTTTTTTTGAGACTCTTTTTTTTTTTAAAAAAATTTTTTTTTTTTCCGACCTTTTTTTTTTTGCTTCTGTTTTTTTTTTTGGATTTCTTTTTTTTTTTTGAAGCATTTTTTTTTTTAGCTGAGTTTTTTTTTTTGGGCTGTTTTTTTTTTTTGACACACTTTTTTTTTTTGCCACAGTTTTTTTTTTTAACAGCATTTTTTTTTTTCTCTTGGTTTTTTTTTTTTTGGGGATTTTTTTTTTTCTCATCTTTTTTTTTTTTAATGTAATTTTTTTTTTTATTAAAATTTTTTTTTTTAAAGCAGTTTTTTTTTTTAGATGCTTTTTTTTTTTTAAACACATTTTTTTTTTTAACAGCCTTTTTTTTTTTCGACGGGTTTTTTTTTTTGAGGCAGTTTTTTTTTTTCAGGCAGTTTTTTTTTTTCTCAAGGTTTTTTTTTTTCGTGACATTTTTTTTTTTATGACGGTTTTTTTTTTTGTTATGTTTTTTTTTTTTGGCGGAGTTTTTTTTTTTGACACCGTTTTTTTTTTTTTCTATGTTTTTTTTTTTACAGTCATTTTTTTTTTTACAGCGGTTTTTTTTTTTCAAGGGGTTTTTTTTTTTGAATGGGTTTTTTTTTTTGGGGCCATTTTTTTTTTTTGAAGAGTTTTTTTTTTTGACACACTTTTTTTTTTTTTGCTCATTTTTTTTTTTTACTTAATTTTTTTTTTTTTCAGAATTTTTTTTTTTGTAAATTTTTTTTTTTTTATTTTTTTTTTTTTTTTTTAGAGACTTTTTTTTTTTGTGTTATTTTTTTTTTTTCGCAGAGTTTTTTTTTTTGCAAGACTTTTTTTTTTTACACCACTTTTTTTTTTTTCCAGCATTTTTTTTTTTACCTCCCTTTTTTTTTTTAACACAGTTTTTTTTTTTCAAGCTTTTTTTTTTTTTTATTTTATTTTTTTTTTTTCCACATTTTTTTTTTTTAATAATATTTTTTTTTTTGTAGCTCTTTTTTTTTTTAGTTCCATTTTTTTTTTTCTGGGTCTTTTTTTTTTTAAAAAAATTTTTTTTTTTAAGCCAGTTTTTTTTTTTTCTTCAATTTTTTTTTTTATGTGGGTTTTTTTTTTTACCGCAGTTTTTTTTTTTGATGCTCTTTTTTTTTTTCTAACCATTTTTTTTTTTTCTCCGGTTTTTTTTTTTGGCGTGGTTTTTTTTTTTCACAGACTTTTTTTTTTTCTAAAGATTTTTTTTTTTCAGTCAGTTTTTTTTTTTACAGACCTTTTTTTTTTTGCGGTGCTTTTTTTTTTTCCCATTATTTTTTTTTTTACAGGAGTTTTTTTTTTTCAGACCGTTTTTTTTTTTACCTAAATTTTTTTTTTTCACCAGCTTTTTTTTTTTCTGTCTATTTTTTTTTTTGGGTTTTTTTTTTTTTTTCCTAAAATTTTTTTTTTTTGCAAAATTTTTTTTTTTGCCGAGGTTTTTTTTTTTAATCTCATTTTTTTTTTTAGCTGCGTTTTTTTTTTTGCCTCAGTTTTTTTTTTTAAGACCATTTTTTTTTTTATGGTGATTTTTTTTTTTCACTAAATTTTTTTTTTTTAGCTGGTTTTTTTTTTTCGTGCCTTTTTTTTTTTTTACTCGGTTTTTTTTTTTAGGAGAATTTTTTTTTTTTGGGAGGTTTTTTTTTTTGTGAGCCTTTTTTTTTTTATGTACTTTTTTTTTTTTAACAAGATTTTTTTTTTTTCTCAAATTTTTTTTTTTATTACATTTTTTTTTTTTCTTCTATTTTTTTTTTTTTTTTTTATTTTTTTTTTTACGTTTTTTTTTTTTTTTGTTGTGCTTTTTTTTTTTTTTTTTTTAAATGGGCCCTTGCAAATGGCGAAAAAATGGCCCCACCTTTCAACCAAGACATTAAAAAAGAATTCTTGGGCGGGCGGCGGCGTTCGGGGGGCGGAAAACGTAAAAAAAAAAAAGGAATTAGGGGTTGGTGGGGGTCCCCCCCCCCAGGAAGGGCCCCCCCAGTTAAACCTTGCG